TAGGGAAGGGGTAGATTATTTTTTAACTTGTTTCCCTCCTCCCCTCCCCACCCAGGTTGGGGGTGTTTTTGTTTTTATTTTAGGATTTTATTCTGTTTATATAGTTCTTTTTCTCTTTTATTGTAAGCTACCTGGCGCCTTTTGGGAAAGAGCAATATACAAATCAATCAATCAATCAAACATACATGCACTGCACTGTAGTGAAATGCTTTCCAGAAGTGACATTACAGTCCATATGCAAATAGCGATATAAATATATGCATCAATAGAAAATAAGTTACTATATAAAAAAGTTACTGTTTTCCTGTAAGCCAGGGTTGTCCAACGGGTGACCTGGAAGCCTCATGCAGCCTGCAAGGAGTTAAATTTTCAGCCCTGTCCCCCCAGGCTCCTACCTGGCCACTGCTTTCCCCCCAGCTCAAGCTGAGGAAGCAGCCGGGGTCTCCAGGCTCCCTCTCCCTCCAGCTTTCCCTTCCTTGCCCCACGGTGCAGCCTGCAGTGCTGGGGAACCCATGGCCCAGAGCAGCGCAATGCAGCGGTGAGGGTAATATTCCTGAAATCATACAGCTTCAGGGGCCTGTGGCCCCTGCTAGTGTGATCCACAGGGTGTGCAGTACCCAGCCACTTAGAAGTTGGACAGTCCTGTCTTTAACTAACATAGCTCAATATCCATCCATACAGCCTAACAGCATCCAATTTCTTTATCAAACTGAGTAGTGCATTTCCAAAACCAGAAAGTTTTACCTCTTTCAATTAGCCACTCTAACGTAAATTGTCGTTAGATATTGACTACATTTCTAATAGTAGTCACATGCAACAGCCAATTTAATTGCTCTGTTGGATTAATCTGTATGTCTCATGAAAACAATACAGAAAGCCAAGAACCAGAAGAGCAAGATTCTCTTTTATCCCAAACTCCTCTTCAGTCTTTCCCAATAAAAAATAAAGCTACTGCTTACTATAAAAACATATCTTACTATATGTTTGTGTCAATGTTCACATTGTCTTTTTAAACAATAGGCATCCTTTGATTAAAACAAGGAAAAAAAACTACAAGAACAATTATAATTAGAAGCAGATTATTTTCCCTTTAGGAATAAAACTATCAGTCTACAACAGAGACTATGTTTTGTTTTTTTCACAGTATTATTCATTGCAGTGAACATAATAAGAATGGGAGACAACAAAAGTGAAATGAGTCTCTATTCACCAGAATTTCTAAAACCTCAACCCTTCTCTTCTTCCTTTTTGAAAATGAATTCTGTCTGTTTTTAAAAAAAGCATATTCTCCAGACATCTGTTCTTGAGCAGGGGGGCTGGACTCAATGATCTCATGAGGTCCCTTCCATCCCAAAACTTCTGTGAACACATTTCTTCTTTGTTCACGTTTATCTTCATCTTATACTCAAAAAGTAAGTACAGATCTTTCCAGACCAATTCTAAAGTCAGGCTGAGTATTTAGCATTGAGCAAACCTAAAAAAACAAACAAACCAAAAAAAGGTAAACATAGGTGTCACAGGTGTTTTACAGCTTCTATGATTTTTCTAATGAGAACTCCTGCTCCATTTCTACTTTGATTGCTTCCCTCCACCTTAGTCCCACAGTTCTCTCTCTTACATATTGAATGGCTTTTTTTTGGTCTTTCCCCACCTTTAGGATTACATTAATGTTGCATTTACCCTAAGCTGGAGAACTGAATCATATTTTTCCCCTTTGTGGGACATCAAGTAAACTGTACAAGAAACACAGAAAGAATTCATTGAAAAATAATTACCTTGAACTGCAAAACAGCAGCTTTTTATTGCTGATAATTTTGACATTAGGTAATATTTTCAGAAACTGATACTATCCTTCTGTGCTAACTGACAACTAAATGCTACAAACCTGTTTAAATTTTCCTCTGATTTTCTCCAGATCGTCTTGAAGTTTGTTGTAAGTGGGGTCTTCATAAGGGAATTTCTGAATCATTCCTACTAGTGATTCCAGGGCCTTTAGTTTTTTACTATAAAGAATAAAATACAATTTCCTTACAGTGGTTTAAAAGCAGAAATACGATTTCTTCCACTGTCTTATAAAGACTACACTAAGCATGTGATATTAATGTGTTATACCTCAAACTACTGGACCCAGTCCTACAATCCTATTTGCACCTAACTTTTCCCATTTAAATCAATGAGACTGTCTCACCTATATACAAATTGGGACTGTAATATGTAATTTTATATGGTATTAAATCTTTTTTTAACACAAGTGGGCAAGGTTACATTTCCTTTGGCTCATTCTCCATGAAAATATGTAAATATTCATCGTATGTTTTGAGACCAGTGAATAGAAAGTGCCATGGGGGGGAAAAAAAAAAAAAAAAAAGTATTACTCACTATATCAGTAACTAATACCAATACTAAAACTGTAAGAGAATGTCCAAAATAGCTTTCAAAATCTGCGGAAGCATGGTGGATCTGTCAGGTATCTTAACCAAAAAAACAAACATTTGAAAATTTACCATGACCCTATTTTGTGTCTGCTGAAATTGGAGAGAGAAAATCCTCTCTCTTTTGACAGAATGGGTATTTTTGTACTGGTGTGTTAGCCTGGATTTTCTAGCCTATTGGCTTCAAAAATATTTAGCACAACGTATCTAAGCTGCATGAAAAAAAAACATTCTTCCAAAAATTATAATTCTCCAGGCAGGCCAAGCAGAGATTTCTAGTCACCCTCAAAGTGTTTCTGCTCACTCATGAATGAGTACCAATGCCCTTTTATCTCACTGGTTCACAAAACAAAAACTAGAGCCAGTTATAACTGATAGCAGATTCTAAAACATTCGAAATGCAATAGAGTTGCCTAATATGAATACCACATAGATATGCATTACATGCATCAGGTGAGGACAGTGGCTGTAGATTGCCATCTGTAAGTATCAGACAAACAGTAATTATACTACTCTTCTATTATGAAACTGTTCCACAGGTCAGTTTATCTTAAAAAACTTCATCTTAAACAGAAAAAAGTCAATGCCAAGTTTATCAAGAGGAAAGCCATTTAATGGACTTAATGCAAAGTTGATATTCCTGTATGAGCTGTTCTCTCACATTGGTGAAACTAGTGATAACCACGGCTGATACTCGACTAAATGTCAACACTGATTAAACTGTATATATCTGGAACTTGTGGAAATTTTGAATATAACATTCACTAATCAGAAAGGTAGCTAGCTAGCCATGTTAGTCTGAAGTCAGCCAGAAGGTAGGGTAGAGATGCATCTTATAAATTAACTGAATCAGAGATGCATAAGCTTGCTTGAGTAAAAGATCACTTCATCAGATTACATATCAGAAGACTAGAAGAAAGCATAGTCCATAAAGTGCATCTCTACCCTACATTAAATGTTCTAAGTAACGTTGGTGCCAAAAATGGAAAATCCCTATTTTCAACAAGTTCACTTTTAAAAAGAGTGTGAATCGAGTCTATAATTCCCTTATTATGGTTTTTCAGAAAGCCATTCCCACCTTATTAAGTCTAAAATACAGGTTAACTGGAGCTTGAAAACTGCTCATGTTATGGCCTACGCTGCTCCTGGACTGTGAAATATCCCCCATCTGTAATATAAATATCATGACAGAAGGACATTAAGGACATTAATGCACGCTTGTTTTAAAACAGATTTAAAACACTTCTGTTTAAGAAAACGATTGAAACATAACATTTCTTTCAACTGCCTTTAACTTGCATATCGTTAGTTAATTTGTTATTTATTTTACTATGAAATGCCTACAGTCAGATTATGCCAGGAGATAAATTTCATGCAAATAAAATTACATGCACACTTTGGAACGAAAGACACTGTACAAATAGAACATTATAACAAACTAGCAGGCCTCCCAATTCTCTCTGCATTAATAGGTGAACATCTAAGAAAGCTAGTTAAATAAACCTGAATGAATTAATGTGCATAATACAACTGTAAATACATGCAAGTAAAGGACTTCCACAACAGTGTACAATTCCTTATCTGGACAGAGAATTCCCCTGGCACATAATGAAGTCAGCTATAAGTGGCTCTAGTGGGACAATCTCACAATTTTAGTGTAGGCAGCATGCTGAGTTTGGGAGAAGATGGGCTTATTTTATTACAGACATTCTAGGCTGAAAGTTCAGTGGTTTTCTAGTCCCCACTCTTGCCCAAGATGCTCAACAGAATTCTGCCTGCCTTTAAAGTTCAACTATTAGTTTCACCCAAAGGAGAGACTCTACAGTTATAAAAATAGTTTATGGTTTCCTGAGTACCGTGACCTTTAAGAGGACAATCATGCTACCATGTATGTCACTATCATGATACCATTTCACGGAAAAAAAATTCTCTGCTAATTATTGGCCAGTCTGGATGTTTATAATCCCAAGGAAATAAAAAACAAAAAAACCCCAAACAAACTACCGAACATTATTCATACGCATTTCTTTACATCATAAAGGCTTTTCCTGGAAGGAAAGGAACCATGAAATTTGAGACACCACTACCAATATATAATACATTTTTTAACCCTACCTGTGTTTTTCACCGGTGCAGTTGTGGAGAAGATGCTGCCAAGTCAATGCAAACCCAAGATAACATCCAACCTGTGAATTTATAAGAGCTCATCAAAAAAATTCTCTATATGCACCAAAATAGTAAATACAAGATACTGCATTCCAACAGTGTTGCTAGCAGCTAACAGGGTGTTAAAATTAAGCCCTCAGGATGGCAAGTTCTAGAAAATTAGGACAGGGAAAGGAAAGTATAATCGTTACCAAGCAATGGGTGGCGGAGACAGCAGTCAGTCTGGAAAGCAAGCACATCTTGCTACACAGCTTCCAAAATCTGTTTAGCATCAGAGGAGTGAATTAATTTAAGTTATGGTGGAAAAACCAACCACCCAACCATACTTCATCTGTTTCATATCTTATCAGTTTGTGTCTCTATTGGCACATATTTAATTCATAATGATTATATCAGCTGTATATACAGGATCACAGATTCAGGACACATATAGCAAGAGAATAAAAGTCTGGGGTAATTTTTTAAAGGAATTTCAGTGACTTAATTGTCTAAATACCCTTTTTAAAAGCGACTTGGCTCTAGGTTCAGTAAGATTTAGGTACTTCAAATTCACCTAAATCCTCTTTCAGATGCCTAAGTCCAAAACTGCAACAGAATTATTTTCTATCTGGCTGCCGCAATGCTAGATGTGCTTCAAATGTCTAACTTGAAAGACATCAGATACCTTGAATTTTGCTTCTGGGCTTGCCCATTTCTGTACTAATATGAACACCTTGACATTTACTGCTCTCCTAAACCCAACTGGAATCCATAAATTAGTTATTCCCAATTCAGGATAAGGCACTTTCCAAGTGCTTTTTAACCATTTTCTTTTACAACATAATTGAAGGAGAAGTGGTGATGGGAAGTGGTATCTGATGCACTTGTTTAGTGGTTACAGTATTACCTCTGACAGTGGGAGATTCAAGTTCACTATCTATGTTAGCCTCAGAGGGTTCAAACCCCCTCAAGTCCAGCTCCTTAATCATCAGGCTACAGAAACCCTGGCTGGGGCCATTCTCCATCTCTCCGACTGAAGATGCACCTGTTCTGATCCCTGTTCTCTGACATAAGATATGATGTAGAAATGGCTCTCTAATTTAAAGTATTACCTGAAACACAAGTCACAACATAGGAATCCCACATCCTGGCTGAGTACCATAACCACTACTTTACAGTCTTTGCTGAATGTGGCACAACTTCAAAGACATCCAACCATGCTATAAAAACCAGGTCCATTGGGAACTTTAACAAAAATTTCTTTTCTGATCCAATTAACCAATTCTTAATCCTTTAACATGTGCTACATTCCTTTTGTTGAGTCCTACTTTTTTATTAGAATATTACGTGGATCTGAATCAAATACCCTACAGAAATCAAAGGTGTTTACATCAATACTATCACCATCACCAACAACCAAACATGTAGTTCCATAAAAAGAAACATTCAGTTAGACCATAAAGCCATCTTAATTGACATTAACTATAACAACTGCATTCAAATCTTTATTAATCAAGTTTATTTCCCAGTTCACTTCTTTGCCAGGCACTGCCATAAGGCTGATAAATCTATAATTGTGCGTCATCCCATTTATTCTTTAACATATAACATACGTACTTTCTAACTTTGAAATATCCGATTTCTTCTAACTTTCTGGAACTTCTTCAGTGTTCCAAAATTTGAAGAAAAGCCAACATTCATCATCAAGAGAACTCCTATGCCAGCTCTCTCCAATTCTTGGATGCAAGTTATCAGTACCTGCTGATTACAAAAATATCTGGCTGTATCTGTTATTTGACAGCTTCCTTAGACGCGACTGAAATGGTAATCATAGCATATGACTACATCATCTAGCTTCTTCATCAACTATAAAAACAAATATTTCTAACATCTGTCTTTTCTGAATTATTACTGAGAATTCTACCATTTTCATCTAGTAATTGACCAATACCATTGTTATGAAGCTTTTGTTCGCTCATACTTGAAAAACTCCTCCTTACTGTCTTGAACTCTACTGAGTAGATCTACAAAACAGGATGACCAAGTGACATCTAACCAAATATTTCCAGGTTGTAGAAGTCACATAACCTCTACTAAACTGTTCAAGTGAGAAAAGCTTTGATGTCTTCAACAGCTAAGCAAGAACTTTTCTCCCTGCTTACTTCCCTCCCCATCTCCACAAAAATGTTAAATCGTCATCATTAATCAATCTGCACAAAATGTTTCTTTTAAATAAGCTTCAACCCTATCTGAAATACACATTAGAGTCTATTAGAGTATATTACAAGGTATGGAAAACTATCATCTTATTTAAAAACCTTGTTTAATTAGATTAATTACATTCACCTAAATGTTAAGTATTTACCCATACAATTTTAGCGTTTGCTTAGTAAAGCTTTTTACATAGGATAAGAATGGTTTTAGGACAATTGATACATCATGTCAGGTGGTCTTGGGACTGAAACCCCTGCAACAATACCGAAGTGTAGACTGGGGAGACCAACCTGCATCATCACAGAAGTGGTGTGGAAACCCTGCATGTGGCATGCTGAACGGGGAGTAGAAAGGGAGCATAGTGGTGGACTGGACAAGAGCAGAAAGCAGAGCAACAGACCAGGCGGGCAGCAGAACACAGACCAAAAGACTGGACACAGAAAGGGAACTGGAGTGGCATTCATGGAGCATACACCTGCCAAAAAAGAGTGCCCCTCACCAAGAGATCAAGCTTTGCTCAGCCACTTGAGTGCAATACTATGTAACCAACACATTGGTTCTTAGGAAGTTTCCCATTTACCTCAGACCCAATCCTGGCCCCATGTAACGATCCATAGATCCTTCCTTCAGTAACACCAATACGATTTCCTTCAGCATAACCGTCTTGATACCCTTCGCCATGAAATCTGCCAAGGAAAAATTAAACGTAAACCAGTACAGCTGCATCGTTAAGCATTCAAATTGCACACAATGCTTCATTTAAATAAGTTTCATCAACCCTATTTGAAATACACCTCAGAGTGCATTCAAGCACATTTGTACACACATTTTTCAAATCGGCAGGTACTGATAACTTGTATCCAAGAATTAGAGAGAGCCGGCAGAGGAGTGGTTTGGATGACGAATGCTGGCTTTTCTGTAAGTCCCGCTGCATCATGCAAAGATGTAACATTACAAAACACATTAGACTCCACGTTACCTTCACAGAAACAGTGCCCCAGCCGAGTAGAAAACGGGTTGACCCCAGTTTTAGGTGGCTTGCCAACAAGGCCAAGAGCAGGGACAATTACTAGCAAACCACTCCCACCCTGGAAAGCCAGAGTTCAACTACCACAGCACAGTTCAACTAACAACTCGATACATTGGGAGGGCACCAGGCAAAAGGATGTCAACGAGCGCCGGAAGCAAGCTCGAGGGCCCCACTCGGCTGGCGCAGCTTGGCATTAGCTACAGCACCAGCAGCCATGGGCTCCAGCGCATCGATTCAGAACCATCTTTCCTCTCTGTCTCCAAGGGGGTGGTATGAGAGGCCATTCCCTCTCCTCTGGCTCGCAAGGGAGAGATGAGACGCCTCCAGCTTGAGCGCGATGTTGCCCGAAGCCTGTGGCATCACTGTACCCTTTGCTGAGGCACCGGGATTTTCACACTAGCAAAGAATGGCAGGTTTATACTCGGGGCGCGATGGGCTCGGCACAGCCTGCCACCTGGGTCACCAGATCTTCAGCTTCTCAGTGCCTGAGGCCGGGCCAGACCCGAGGGGGCGGGAAAGACCGGGTCCCCTAGTGGGAGACCGGGGGGGAGGGGCTCTCTGCGGCCGGCGTGTGCCCCCCTCCCCGCAGCTCGCCAAGCCCTCCCCCCACGTCCGACACACGGCAGTTAAGAGGGGGCTGTAAATGCCCGAGCAGCAGCGCTGCCCCGCCCACCGCACCTCTCCTCCGCCATCAGGATGCCATCGAACAGGTCCGGCTTGAAAGCGGCGGGGCGGTCCGGCCTGAGAGCGGCCGCCCGCCATAGCGCAAGCCGCGCGGGGCATGTCGGGAATGGACGGCGACCCGGAGGGGCCACTACCAACCCGGGGAACGAGAGCCCCGCCCACCGGCCTCGCGCGGGGTGCTGGGTGACGTAAGCGCTTTACGTCACTCCGTGGGGCTGTCGCTGTCTTAGGCACGCACAGCTCCTGCGTCATTACGTTCCACGGTCTCCCGCTGGCACACCGGGCACCCCGCGCTTCTGCTCCTCCTTCTTCACTCAAGCCTCACGCGGAGGCGCAGACGCGGGGCTGGCCAGGCGGCGCAAGCATCACAGGGTGCGCGAGGATTGTGGTGTTTGCACCATTGTCTCGACCCATACACGATCAATCGCAGTAAAAGCGCTCCAAATGTGCGGGCACTGGCGAGGCAACTCGTTGGTGCAGCATATGCAAAGCCCAGGTCACTCAGGGAATCTTGAGTGGCTTTTGGGCTCGCCTCAGCACTTTGCTATGACTGCTTTGAAATGAAGACGGGTGTAGGTGGTAGCCGTGTTGAGCTAAGGACATAGGCAGACAAGGCAATTTGGGTGGATCTCATATCTTTCATTAGGCCAAGCGAAATTGCTAAGAAAAAGATCTCCAACCGCTGATACCTTTTATTAGACCAACTAAATAGCAGAAATAATTGTTCCTAGCAATTTTTCTTGGTCGAATGAAAGAGACCAGATTTACCCAAAGAACCTCGTTTTGAGATGAAGACAGGCTTCAACTTTGACCCAGTTCTCACTGGCGAGTTACGATAAAGTAAATGAGAAGACGTGTTTGCATCTCATTTTCTACTTGCTTGCATATTTTTTCATTATACGCTAGTTTTTCAGCAAATACGATAATTTTGAGCTTCTGGTACTCGGGGTTCGGATTACACGCCGAATCTTGGGGGGCCTGGAGCAGTGGCAGCGGCAGCAGGGAGCTGGAAGGAGGTGCCACCGCCTGAGCGGTTTAGAAAGGTGTGGGGTGGGCCGGGGGCTCTTGTCTCTTATGGGTGGGGTGCAGCCCCCATGAGCCCCTCTGTATTTCGAGCCCTGCCAATACAATAATTTCATATTTAAGAGCTGGCAGCACCAGGGAGTCACTTTCTGGCTCATTGTCACCTGCCTGGTCCTGTTTCAGCTCCTCGTACCTCAGCTTAACACCCCTCTGTCCTTTGTAATGGTCTTGAGGTGCCAGCAGCTGAGCCAGCCTGTGTCCCACCCTCCTGCTGCCCTTGGCTGCTCCTGGTCACCAAGATGCGGCTTCAAAGCCCTGTCTGCTGTTTCCAGCTCCTTCTGCTGAAGTTTTATTTGTTTTGCCTTCTATCTTCAACCAAATAATTCCCTCCCTGCCCCATTCATCCGGGAAGCTTCTAGTTTATTCTTAACTGGAGAAACACCAGGTGTTGTTTTGTGTGTGGTGATGCACCTCACCCTCTGCACCCCACGTTTCAAAATCCTAGATCCCTCCACAGTCACGGGGGTAAGCGTCATGTAACCTAAAGCAGTGGTTCTCAAGCCTTTTTTTTGTACCAAGCCCCTGTACCCATGGCCAGTCCTGACCCAGTAAATAGTTTAAGTAGAAAACAGCCCCCTGCCCCCCCACATTGCCCCTTACTCCCAACCTGCTGCCCCCAGGCCCCAGCTCCCCAGTGTGTGGGGCAAGGGTGTGGGGGGGTCTCAAGCACCCCCTGGCAGGCTGGAACTCTGCCAGCCTGTAAGGGAAAAGCCCCGGTTTCCCACATTTTTCTCCTTTAAAGGAGAATCCATTTTTCAAGTTTGTTTGCAACCCTTTCATATATTCTTGCAACCCACTTTTGAGTCACAGCCCATGGGTTGAGAAACGCTGATTTAAAGGATTACTAAAATGCTGATTAGTAGTAGGCATCTGTCTGTCTCCTAAGACAACAGAGCGTGAGGCATCAGCTCTGAATATCTGTGAGTGTGGACGTAGAGCCCAGTTCTCGTGTGACGGTCCCTCCTGCAGTTATCACAGGTTAAGCTTGTACCTAACAGCCCTGGGGTCTTCCTGAGGTTTTTTCTTTCCTCTGCCTGTTGGGTTCATCTTTCCTCAGAAGCCTTCCTTTCACACTGAATAGCTGTTTCCAAGCAGTTCAGTCCTCAGAAATGTTCTAATTGTTTGGCTCAATGATCACTGCCTTTATATCTCTTGCAAACATCTTTGAACTGGAGATAAGGATGCCCACATGGTCTTCCTGTAAAGAATTCTCCATGCAAGACATCCTTGGGTATATGACCATCACTTGCTCTCCGCATATGACCAAGCCTATGACCGCATACGGCCACTATTAATGACAGAATAATGATGTTTATCTAATAATGTGCATGATATATTTAAGTTCATTCTTTTAAATGGTGGGCCACTAAATTATAGAGTCATAGATGTTAGGGTCGGAAGGGACCTCAATAGATCATCGAGTCCGACCCCCTGCATAG